GTTAGCAGGACGACACATGGTGTCGTCGGTACATTGAAAGAACAGGTGACATTTCAACCCTCGCATTATTTTATTATTGCTTTTTCGACTAACTATAAGTGATTGCTGCCTACAGAATATTGATTGTTGACCAGTGGTTCTTTCAGAGAAATAGGAAGTCGATGAAGTTATCAGCTTCTCTTCGAAGTCCATCAAGGATACCCTTCAAGCACCTCAGTACTGTTTATGTTAGTTAAATTTTGTAATACTTGAAAACGTGATTGTTGATAATTTCCTAGTTAACCAGTTATTTAGGTATTGCGAGTTATTTCTGACGTAATCTACGTGTAATTGTCCCCTGTGCATTAGATTTAACATAGAACTAAGCAAGATATTTCAACACTGTCATTTTTGGAATTCATCTGCCTCCACTGTTTTGGAATGAAACAATGTTCTCACTTCTGAAGATTGGCTCCATCTAATCATTTTCACTCATTTAAAATAGTTTACCCATAAAGAATCATTTGTTCGAGAGTTTCCAAAAAAAGAGGAAATTTTCCGGAAACCACTTTTTTTGCTTGGGGTACGAGATTATTTAGGGTAATCATTATAGAAAATAAAAGTGTTTGGAAGAAGAAGATATCGAGTCTAAATGGCAATTTGATTTTTCAGGAAGGGCATAAGAAAACAATATATGGTGTTGCATTTAATCCGTATCTTATTGCCAATCCACATTTTGCAACTGTTGGAGAAAATCGAGTGAGGTTTTTTGTTTTCCTGAAAAAACATTTTCTCATAGTAAAGGAATTAACCTTCCAAATTTTGACTTATAATTTAATGATAATCCGTTCCAATTTAATACATCAGCGATACTATTCAAGTTTCTTCTAAAAAAAACCCTCATTTCACATATCAAGCTATTGTAATTTGCATTCTGGAGCTCGACAAATTTGTCTTTTGATCTCCAGTAGAACTAACCTGCGAAAAATAGGACTTTCTAATATGTAATTGATATAGATTTCTACTTTTTTTTCTTAGTTGATTTTGCAATTGATTAGTTTCTCCATATTTCACACACATAAACATGCATATTAACAGACTTATCATACTTCATATTCTATATCACTGTTAACCATTGGCGAGAAATTGATATCCAAATAAATGAAGCATGCGATCGAAAATTATTTTCCATTAACCCTTTATCTTATCCAACTAATCCAGTTCCAAATATAGGTATCGATATATTCAATTGCGAAAGATGGAAACAGTGTAAAGCTGTTGAGAAGTTTCCACGATTCAGCGGTAAGGAAAACATCCTTGCCTTTTATATTTAGCAGTAAATGTTGAGTATGAGGTTATTAGTTCACGTGGATTTCATTTAAAAAGATGTCCGAGCGTTAGACTTGATTTTTCTCTTCAGAAAACTGAATGGTTTTTCTCCGTCTGTTGGGCATACGATACTGAGAATGACGTACATGTCGTGATTGCTGGTGGAAATCGAGGAATCATACGAGTAATAGATGTCGTCACGGGTGATCTCGTTAACGTTCGTTTGTTTATTTATGCTTGAAACTATATTCCTGTAAATATTTGGCAGGTAATGCAAAAGTAAATTAGTGTTCTGTATTTGTAATCGGTGTTTCCGAATTACCTACATAATTCATAAGTTTGCTGGAGCAAGATTTAAAATCATTTTAGAGTTTGATAGGACACGGTGATGCTGTAAATGATGTTCGTGTTTTTCCAAATGATTCCATGATTATTGCTTCGGCCAGCAAGGATTTCACAGCTAGGATATGGAACATTCACAACAGTGCTTGTTTAGCTATTCTAGGAGGAGTTGAAGGCCATTTGGATCAAGTTATATCAGTGGTAAGTTTGTGTTAGAAAGTTATGTCGATGGTTAGAAAGTTTTATCTCAGAAGTCTTTACAGAATCGTTGTTGTTTTGAGTACTCTTTTTTAATTAAATGTAACGCTGTTGCTTGTTTTACAAAAGTCATACTATCTGAACTATCTCAGTTCTATCCTAATGGTAGATCAACAAACTTATTTTAATCTTTTTTTTTCTCTTTTTTTTTCAGGATTTTGATGCTGAGAGCGAATATTTGGCATCGGCAAGCATGGATCACACCGTCAAGTTGTGGTATGTAGGAAAGGGGAGTGGTGTTGACCGACTAGTTGAGCAGTCTAAAGCTGACCTCAGAGTAAATAGATTCTCGCGGTATTTTTCGTCATTACAATCAAGATTGTAGTGGAATTGAACGTTTTAATTACTGAAAATTTCATTTTAAAAGGATTGATTTAATTATAAGCATGAACTATCATTAGTTACAGATGGCATGCAAAAACTTTTTCCAATGATTAATTTATTTATCTAATATGCTTTAAAATGTTTGCATGCTATTTATTGTTTTCAAAACTTCTTTTATGCAATTTTAATCTCTTATTTGCAATGGATATTGCTTGTAGTTTATAAACTAGTTAAAAATGATACCTCTGATGTTGCCGAGAACGTTTTACAGCTGGTTGATTTCCCAGCCGAAATACATTATCCTCGTTGTAGCACCCGTGATGTACATACCAATTACGTTGATTGTGTCCGCATTTTCCATAGACTTATATTTTCCAAGGTGAACTTTGTCGTTTTCACCTTGTTTGAAGTTACTTGGAGATTGAATAAGGACTAGGAGGGAAGACTGACGGTAATAGGGGGTAGTAGTTGGCACTTTTTCGTAAGATATACTTTGATATATTCGTAAGATATACTTTGGAGTCGGATGTTAAGTAAAAATTAATTTCAGTCAACTGAAAACGAAATAGCTTTATGGAAATTTGGTGACTTCGATGATTTGGTCGCTGGACAAGGTAATAAGGTAAAGACCGAAACATGCGTTATTCATTTTCGTCAAATGGAATTACCGGAAACTAATATGTGGTATATTAAATTTGAAATTGATCCATTGGAAAAGGTAATTTATTTAGCCTCTTTCTTTGTCGCCATTTTACTTTTGATCTCACACAAAGTTTGATAATTCCCCCTCAATAAAATCCTGAATCCAATTCTTATCTACCATTGTTAGTATTGGATACTGTTCGACGAGGAATGATGTAGTCGGGCGTGTCCAAAGTCCCATTCCATGCTTTACTATACAACGAGTTACAAACGGTTTAGTAGAGTGTTTTATTGTTTTGCATTTGAAAATATAGATTGGATGCTGGATAGGGACGCTAAATCCTAAAAAGTTTTCTAGGATGAAGTGAATAAAAAAAATGAATAGTAAAAAAAGTGAAAAGTGAATAAAAAAAATGGAAATGAAAAAAAAATGGAAGAAAATGGAAAAAAAAATGGAATAGAATAATTACTTCAGGGTTTTCCATCCCTAACTTTTTTGTTCTTAAATTTCAGTACCTTGTCTGCGGTAATCAGAAAGGTGAAATTCACGTGTGGGAAATTAACAATGGTTCATTACCGTCCGTAAAAAGGTTTGTAACTGGTTTTTCTTGTAGGTTACATCATGAACAGGTTAAGGCTTGGTAATTTTACTTGAATTTTTCTTATAAGTCAAGTCCGCTCTGACCTTAGAACTTTGATTGTTCTCGGGAAATTTAGATTTGTAAGTTTTTTATAAGAAATTTAAATTTTATCGAATCACTTTTTTTTGACTTAATGGAATATATTTCCAGCAATCATGTGTTGCGTCCCAAAGATGTTGGGTGTGCCATAAGGCAGATTGCCTTTAGCCCATGTGGCCAGCATATGATTGCCGTAGCTGACGATGCTAGTATATCCAGGTTTGCGAGACGAGTGTGAAATTTACATATGAATTAGATAATTATGTTTTACAAATGTAGTTTCTTCTTATTTAAGAATTCTACAAATTAAGCAAATTAATTTATGCATAGATGTTTCAAATTTTCTGGCTTGGAAATTATTTCTTATCATTTCCACGGGTACTTAGCGTTTTCACATAATTTCCTTTTATTTGTTGTCACTTCATTTTTTTTTTCAGAGAATATAGAGATCTTTCTACCTCATGTTGTTGTCTTAAATTATTTTTATCTTGCTTTTGAACATAACTCGATTGTTATTTGTTGAAGTTTTAACTTCTGCTTCGGCATTTGTTTTGAACTGTTCCCTTTTGCACTCAATTCCTGTTACTTTGAATACAATAAATGTATAATCTTTTTATTTATTGAACAGTAAAGTATCACCCATATCGTAGATTTATTCGGAAGTATCACCTACTTCGTGAAAGGTAATAACTCCAGTAAATTATGTTAAAAATAATAAATAAACTTGGAAATAATTTTATGGAAATACGATCTATGCGGTCGGCTGTCCACTGACTTGTGCATTTCTGGGACGATAAGCATGCTTTCCATAGTCGATTTCTAAAAGTAGAGATATCATTCGAATTCTGAAGTAGTGCTTCTTTCTGATCCGGTCGAATTGCACTAAAATTGTTATTTTTTATTTCAGTACTAGAAGATTAAAATTATGGTTTCAAACTTGACATAGCGAAAGCGTGGAGCTTACAAGTAGAGATTTCAGCAAAGATTCGCGGTGATCTTTGTCCCACATTTGAAATGTCAAGGCTTAGCACCGTGACGAGGATGTTTGGTCATAAGTTAGTGAGTTTGCTACGCGAGGTCTCGGAGGACAACTCTTTGGAATTATTGCTAGTAATTTCTAGATTTCAAAGCTACATGGATACGGATATTTCGGCCTAAAATTGATGAAACATAGCCCAGAATATGTGGGTAAAGAATTTTTGAAATAACAGTAGTCTTCACCAACCTTGTAGCATTCCTCCCGACAATACTTCGAGTTATTACACTACCCTCAGATGGCATGAAAATTTTTGTCATCATCCATGGATCATCAGGGCTGATTTAAGAATTCGTTAATGATTGCCAATATTTAATTTCTTGTAAAAAAAAATTCAAAATTCAAAAGTTTGGAATTTTATCTTAAGATGGTCAATTAGAATATATAGATATGTAATATTCATAACGTATTTACCTGATACTTCTTGTACTGAGGTTATTATCAATTACTTTATGATATATGATCGGTGAATATTTTCGACTACCATGTACTGAAGATGATCGACTACGTTTCTTGAGAGGTTTTTTTACAGCATTTGTCTAAAATTGATGATATAAATGGAATATATCTTAGCTATTTTAAGACTAATATTTACCTCGAATAAAAAATAAGAAAGAAGAGAAGGGAAGAAAAATATGAAATAAATTTCATTTATTTCTAATAGCATTTACAATACTTATTTTTTGAAAGATTTATTACCAAAATATGTAAATTTATATTGCTTGTTAAAACTATTAAAATTATTTTATCATTAGGTTTTTTTATGCTGTAAATTTTCACATTATTGATAAAATTTTAATCATTTCAAATTATCCATTCATTAGGATGAATAATAACTTGAAATTTTAAAATCGAATATTAATTTACTTCACTGCGAGCATTAATTGCACCAATGATAGCTAATTCAAGAAGTGAGCAAAATACGAATGAAAGGCACGATAACATCCAAACATCTGAAATAAATTTATAATATTTAATATTCTCTTATAAGTTTTTTTTAATTTTTGAGTGAAATTTTAAAAAAAAATTGAATTATTGAAAAAGTGAACGAAAATTTATAATATTACAATAAACTGAATAATCACTAACCAAATGCTTTAACATAACTAACACGAGGCAAATTTCGCATAATATTACCAAAATGAAAGGTAAGTGCAAGAAGTGAATTAACTCCAAGCATTGTACGTGCTGGGATCATTTTGACACTGAGACAAAAACTTATCCAACTGAAATTGATGTCACTTTTTTTCTGCAATCTTAGAAAATTACTTAAAAAAAGAAACAGTTTGATATATATCTGATAAACTTGATAAACTGATAATTAAATTAATAAATTTTTACCTGATAAAAATGGTAAGATAAGTTGGGACATATGCTTGAAATATATACCATCCATAGCGTCTAGTAAATGTAAATGTCATCGTTAACTCATTCCAAATACCTGCCGGATATGTCTGTAATAAAGGTTTAGTGATGTTTAATAAAATTTTGAGATATATGCAAAATTAGAAGTTATTTAGTCATTTATTTTTCAATTTAAAATAATTAAATATGAAAATTGAAATTGCTAAATGCCCCATAATTGGTAATGTTATATTGCATAGAAAAATCTGTAATATATACTTTAAATATTAATTGTATACTAATTCTTTCAAATGTCAAGAACAATTGATAACTTTTTTTCTTTTTTTTTTTAAAGTATCATCAATTTTAGATAAAAAATCGAAATGATTTAAATAATTTTATAATGAAATTCAAAATTAAATAGTTTTAAATTATTAATTGAAATTACTCACCACATGTTCGATTGATGTATTATAGTTGCTGAGCACAAAATCAGGTAAAATTATTTGATCTTTTAGCAGTATTAATGGTTCTTTCGTATTAATCCATTGCATATTAACCTCCTAAATGAAATTTTCATAATTATGAAATTGATAAATCAAAAACTACTGATTATTGATAAGATATAATGTATATCTAATCTATTCATTAGCCTACATAGCAATTTTTTCATGCTTTCTAATCTGAACATTGATCAGCAAATTATGATCATTCTGATCTGAAGATTGATTAGCAAATTATGATCACTTTTATTTGTTAAATATCACAATAATATTTCGTGTATTATTTAAACATTTAGTTTTTTAGTTCATATTCTTTAGATTAATCAAGTATTAGGCTAGTGCTCATATATTTTATCTGGCAATTCATATATCCCAGTTGTCAATTTTCTATCTGGATAATTAATTTCAGTTTTAAGTTTAATCAAATAATAATCTTTTAATTTTATTTGGCTCATATAAATATAGAGAAAGCAAAGTGATGAATACATATTTAGAAAAGATTGTAACAATTTTATTTGTTAGACAAATGCTTTCCATTATTGGTTTAGGTAAAATTGAATTTGATGCATAAATTTTCATAAATTGACCTTTTCTTAAATTTTTTTTTTGCAATTTTTTTGAAATTTAAAAAATGAAAAGAAAAAAATGCTATAGCAAAAGAAATTTCAAAAACTTAATAAATCAATAAAGTTTCAAATCTCAAAAATTTCATACAAATGATAAGTTTGGTTTGCTTGAAATAATTGTAAAATTAACATTTCACGAAACGATACACCTGATTATTATAACTGAAACTTTCAAATGTCAATAAACATGTTTGTTCATCCATTGGAAATGATGTGAAATCCATTTGACATGGACCTTTTACCTGTACCCTGAAATTTTGGAAATGTATCTCTCAGGAATTCATTTTTACCAATAATACATTATCTGATAGGTTGAATTAATATCTGCTATTTTCATATAAACCAGCATTTTCTTTTTTTTTTTCTCTTTTTGCTCTTTCACTAATGAATTCTCACTCATAATGTATTATTTTATTAATTATTAAAAAAATAATTTCGAACCTATAATTAGCCCATACAGTACCATTTGGATAAATCATGAGGAAAAGATTGGTAAATGGTGATTTGTGAATAGTGGCTGATTTACTATTAACGAATACTGTATTAGGTTTCCAAATTTGTTCTAAAATCTGAAAGTTTTTTTTTTTTTTTTTAGTCAATAATATTATTTAAAGAGAAATTATGATGGTAGAAAATAATTAATTTGATTTTGATAGATAATTTTGCTAAATAATGCTATATTGTATTTTTTTTTTTTAACAAGTGAGAAAAAAGAGTATAAAAATTTTTTGTTGAAACAGATATGCAAAGAAAAAAATACCGCCAGATTAATGGATCATACGAATATTGATTGACATAATTACTTATGATCAAAAATTTTTAATTGCACTCCATATGAAATGCATTTTCACAACTCCTAACTTTGTCTCATTAACGATAATTTGTCGCTTACAAATTTTATCTGTCAACCCAACATATGACATTATCAAATTTTCAATCAAACATTTTTTAATCTACCAATTCTATATTCATATCATTATAAAAATTTATATTAATTAGTTGGTCATTATTAAGTACATTTAATGAGTTTACCTCATTGTTAAGTGATAAATTATATTTACATGGATTCATATCATCGTATCGGAGTGCTTTATCAACCCATAATTCAGTTACATAGATATCCATGTCAAAATCAGATGTCATTTCGTTTACTGAATTTACTTCTTGTACCCAAACCTAAATAATTCGTTTTCATATCGCATATAAGAAAATTATTGCAAAATTAAAATGATGCTTGAATTTGTGAAATTACTGAAAAATTGTTTTCATCAATTTTTATAGTAATTAAAAATTTGGAATTTAATTTATGTGAATTGAAAAAGATTCAAAAATTAGTGCTTTAAATTTCAATCATTTAAACTGAAATCAAACCTCAATCCAAACATTGACACCTTCCTCTGATGGAGTTTTATGTGCTTTATATTTTTGCAGTAAAATTTCAATTATTTTTTTATCCGTTGTACAAACATGATCGATTTCATCGTGTTCCACGTTAATAATCGCTGAATTGATACTTTGTATCGGTGATTCCACTAAAAGAGTACTTTGCTGAACTAAAATTTTGAAAATTAATTCACTCCATGATAAGATTCTTATCAGATGAATAGAGTTCAAACTTAATTACACAACATACTTATCGTTGATAATTTGAATGATAATTTCTTAAAAATAATGATAAGAATTTAAAAAACAATTAAAATTATTACTATTAATTTTCAATCGATAACAATAATTTTTTTTTATTATCTCAGTATTTATGTTCAATACTAATCATGTTTTGTTTTGGTAATAAATTTACATTTAACTAAGAATACAATTAATGCAATTAGTCTATTATTGCATATTTTTTACAGGATTTTATCACGGTACATTTATCAGTTTTATCAGATTTATCTTTCAAAATACGTTTTCAAAAATTCCATGGTGTTGTTCTAATTTTGACAAATTATCATTCAAAGTATTAAAGATAAACATATCAAGTAATTGAGTTTAAGATTAGCTTATTTGATAAATGGATCTTATTTTAGGATTAACCAAATAAGCATTTCGAATTTTCCCTTGTTAATCAAAATTAGTGATGATTATAATCGAGAAAGAAGAAATTAGTTCTGAACTGTGTAACAATAAATAGTTAATTTACTCACTTGTCACACTGTCATCTATTATTCCAAATATTTCTGGCACATTTTCACTTTTCATAATAGATTGTTTGAGCTGAAAAATAAAAACTAAAATATATTTTGAAATATTTTTAAAATATTGACAAGTTAATGGGTTGTAAGTTGGAATTCCTCAAGCAAACACACACACACATATATATATATATGTTAATTGTTTGTTAAAATTTTATTTCAAATGAAACATTAAATTAAAAAAGTTAATTGAACTTCTCCGTCAATTTGAATTTAATCAGTCGATAGTTCAAATTAAATCATGCGTGGGTTAAAAATTTGAATTTTTTTTTTTTGTAATCTGCTGCATACCGTATTGCATGTAACATGCTATTGGATTGTCCTTTACGATGATTATAAACAATGTTTAGAGTAATTTTATTATAAGAAGTATATGTGAAATGGAATTTTCCGAAAGAAGTACTAGTAAGCTTATTCCATTGGCTATTAATTGCACGGTATTTTGCTTCGGTATATTAATTGTACAGCACTTCACTACGGTATATTAGTTGTACGGTACTTTTGCTACGGTTTATTATTTGTACGGTACTTTACCACGATATATTAGTTGTACGGTGTTTCTTTGGATACTTTAATAACCTTTCGAAAGTTATTTCTGAGTTCGGCCAATAGTCTGTTGTTTTGAGTGTAAATTTCCCAATGATATTTCTGGAAAATTGAAATTAATTCTTCCAAGAGTAATAGTTACGTAAATTTTCAAATGATATTTTTGGAAAGTTGAAATTAATTCTTCCAGAAGTAACAATTGCAAAAATTCGCATTGAATAATTGTGATCTGTTTACCTCAAGATCTTCTAATCTATTTTGAAGATTAACCAAATCTTCCATGTCACGCTCTTTCTGATTGAAATTTAAATCTTCACCGAACATCAACTGCGAATACAATAGTAATAATGAAATACTATGAATACAGAAGAAATCCATGATACATCGACTACATTGAACCTACAGATAATTAATGTATAATTTTGGAAGCAATTGATTAATACAATGGTACAGAAAGATGTGCCGCTATTACTTACATAATTATTTTTTGAAATTTTCATTAGCAACCAAAATGTAAAAACATTTAAATGTTATTATAAAATTGAAAAGATTTCATAAAATAGCCTCAAATTCTGTCAGGAAAAAAAAGAGAAATGATAATAAATTTCATTTTGATTATTTACAATCTGTGCAAAAAAGTTTTTCATAACCCTTAATTGAAATGGCAAGATCCTAGGCCAAGAAAACAAAATAGTATTTTTCTTTGGCTTAAATAGTGTATCTATGATAGGACGGAGGTACAAAGTAAATTTTTTTTTCTTTTTCTTTTTTTTTTTACAAAAATTATTGTATAAGTGAAAACATGAGATTTATCTGTGTCATTATAGTTTTATTTATTTATAATTTACGATTTATATTACAATTTTTAGTCCCATATGACATATGACATCTGATTGATATTCGCTTAATTTTGGTTTGATTTTAAGAATTAAAATTAATTTAACAAATTTCACTTGAATGAAAATTTTGGAATGAACAAAAAGACGATAACACATCTAATCATCATTATCATCATCATTATCATCATCATCATCATCATCATCATCAATCATCATTACAAATAGGAAAATCAAAGGATGAATAAAAGAAAGCATTCATTGCTTTCAAGTTAATTCCCGCAAAATTAAATGGTAAGGTACTCGAGCATTAGCTAAATTTCTTGTCAATGCTAAAGTGCTATAACAATCCCGAAATAGGTATTCCTAATAAAACCGGATAAGATAAGAGAGATAGGAGGATGGATAAGAGGAGAGAGAACAATCTCTGTTAGCAATTCTCTGTATTGGATGATAATTGAATTTGCTATATACATATCGAGAGCTAGCAGTATAAATTGATTTGATAAATTAAAAAAAAAAAAAACGAACAGGATTAAAATTTTAAAAGATGCTCAAATTTGATTAATTTGTGAAAAAAAAAGGAATGAAAGTAATGAATACTTGAAAGATTTTTATTTTTTTTTATTTATTTGAAGCATACAATGGAATACTTCATGATAACACTTGAAATTATCAAAAATTCCAAATCAACAATCATATCATTAATGTTTTATAAATTTTAAATCATCAGTTATACTCATTTCATGAATAATCTTAATTAATTTAATTCTTTTTTTTTTGAAAAAAAAATCTAACTTCCAATCATTTGATGAAATATTTTATAACAAAAATTGACAAATTATTTTCGATAAAAGAATTTAACAATCATGTAATCAATTTTGAAAAGAGCCGGAAAAGAGACCGGAATGACGATTAAATGTGAAATGAAAAGGGAATAATGATATATTAGCAATCGTTTATTATGACATGAAAGATTAACGGTTACTTTAGGTGAAAAAAAAAAATTTCTTCCGCCATTTGTCAGTTAAAATTTGCTAGTTATTTTAATGTTTTGCGCAGATGAAATGGCGCAAAGAAACATTAAATATGCAAGGAAGAAAAAAAAAAAGAAAGCCTAACGTTGACAAGAATATTGAAAGACAAAAAAAAAAGAAGGAAAAGAAGAAATTACTTGTTTTTTTTTTTCCTTTCAAGATAATAGCTAAAAAGTTATCAATTATGAATTCATTTTTGACCAAATGTTTTTTTGGCCAGATTTCATTTTGTCATGTTACAGGAAATCAATTGATTAATCGTATAAACATGTTAAGAAATTTTTTTTTTAATAGGATTTATCAATTGATAAGTTATAAAAAGGAATTTGATGCATATGAATTATCAATTACTTCTTTCCTACAATCATCTCCTTCACTCCCTATCAAACTTATCATTAATGATAAATGTGATTACTTTGGAAGAAAAAAAAAGTTGAGAAAGTGTATCATTGAAAAACCCAAAAATTTTAAAGTGCCATCATTTGCACTTGTCAAATGCATATGATATTTGGTTATTTAATCATCATCAAATTTTTTGCGCTTTCATTGTCCAAAATTCTGTCCAATACTTTTTAACCATTCATTCGTACTTCAAAAATGTACTCAAAGATGAAATGTTTTCTATCATTGAAACTAAAACAATTTTTCCACTTCATTTTTTATTTTTTTACAAAACCGCCATATCCAACAAAGAAACCAATAAGAACATGTAAACCATTAGCACAAGAAGTATTAGTAAATTTAAATTGTTAGATATTGCTAATATTTAAAAAGTTGAATAGCAGTAGAAAGTAAAGCAAAAAGTTCGTAAAACTTCAAAAGTAAAAAAAAAAAATCTGTGATTAGCAAAAAGAAAAAATGTTATGAACACTGATAATGTGCCTGTAAAGAAAGCAAAATTTTGTAGAATTGGCTAATTTTGAGATTTTACAGAATGTAATTTGTGACCATTTTAAGGAAAGTGATGATGAAAAAAAACAAGAAAGGAAGGTCAAAGATTAGTTAGAGGAAGATAAATAAACTTGAATAGTTAAATAAATGATTTAGAAATGTTAAAATTTTGTCCTTAATCTAGACAACTTATCAATAAATGAATGATATGATTAATAGAATGGATAAGCTATCCTTTGCAATAAACAATTACTTTACACTTACTTTTAAAAGTGAACCGATAAATCTGCGTGTATTCATTGCAAGAAATACTGATAGTGTTAGTATTCATTGATTTAATTTAATGAAATCAAATTTTATTGCGATTTTGAATTTAATTCGAAAATGCTTAAAACTTATTTTTCATTTTCGACAATTATATAACAAATATCAAACTTTAATCATTCATAACTCATTATCGTGTTAATCATTTGATAAAATCAAAAAATTAAGTAGCAAAATATAAGCTACTTTGTGCTTTAACTAAATTCTAAACTTTGTATTACTTATAGAGATAGTCTTACTGCATTCAAAATTTGCACTAATCTAGCTTTAGTCATTATTAACGAAGGAATGAATGTAATTCTTTAATTAAAATTTTTCAAAATTAAAAATGTTTATATTTCAAATCTTCTCATCTTGTTTATCTTTCATATTCATTCCTTCGTTCATAATAAGTAAAGCTAGGTAAGTGGAAAATTTGATAGCTTTTATTTGAAAATTGCTCTGTCAACAAATCTATCGAATGTTGAATTATTCCTTTTCACTGCTCATTGTTTCCTTTTTTTTCTTTTTTAAAAAATCTCAATAAAAACAAAAACTAAGAAAAGCATTTACCTTTTCAGATATATTCCACAAAAAAAAAGGAGAAAAAACTGTAAATTGAATTCTTAAATTTTTCCACTAAAATAGAATTTCTTTTTTTAAAAAAAAAGCTTTTTTTTTCCTTTCTTTTAAAAGAAAATAACATTCTATTAACAATTAACAACATTCTTTACTTGAAAAATGAAAGACTCATTTCATTGAAATGTTTTTTTTTGAGAATACAAGAATTCATGTAACAAATGAAAATATATAAAAATAAAAGTAATTATTGATTCCAAATATTAATCCATTTAATATTTTATTTTTCTATTTGTAACACAATAGTTTGAGTGTGCTAAAATTAAGACTAACAGAGTTTAGCAAAAGTGATTTTACAATTGTTTTTACTTTATAGTTTTTGAAATTTCATACATTTCAAATAAAAATCAAGGGAATAAAAACGAAACAACGAAAGTTAAGTATAAATAACTAATTATAAGTAGATAGTTATAAGTAAGCAATTATATTTAAGAAATGGCTCACTTTATTAAGATAATATTTTCAAGATTTGATTTTTTTTTTTTTCAAGATCTAATTTTCAAAAATATGTTCTTCCAGATGGCATAACATTTATTGTTATTCAAAAGAATCTTTTTCAATTGGGACAAATTTTTCGCAGAAAATCTGAATTTCCTCAATTTACATCTGTTTTCAATAAAACTTAAACATTTAAGAAGTAATTGTAACATTTGCAAATAGTCTCTTATCAGTTAACACATTCTTTTTGTCTTCAACTTATTACATCCTTAAAATTTCTTTTTCATGCAATATATTTTAAGTTTAGTAGCATACGAATATGAGAATATGTCCTTCTACAATTGGATGGACTTCAAAATGATGCTTCAAATACATTCAAAACAATAGAATGAAGTAGGAAAAAAAATTTTTTTCCAAGTAATTACTTTCATATTTAGCCGAAGAAAGTTTATGCAAATATAAAATTTAGTTTTTAAATTAAATTTTATATTTACATTAAAAAAATGAAAATTTGATAAATTTTTTAGAAGAAAAAGATATGCAAAGCATACATATTTGTTTTCTTGAATTTAATCAATTAAACAGCCAAGGTTTATTATGACATCTCATCAGAAAGAAAATAAGAGAAGAATGTCATCACATACTCATCCAACAGATTTTTAAAGAAGTCCTCATCGAGTTCATACATAGCTTAGAAAAACTAATTTGATGAAAATATTGTGAAAATAATGTAACTGGCAAAATTATTATAAATAACCACCGTTTAAGTTCATTTCAATTAAATTCACTTCGAATAAGAAGTGATTTAATTTGAAATTTTAATTCATTCAATTATCATCGATAAGTTTTCATTGTTTATTGCAATGAAAATAATAGTGAGATGGATAGGCTAATATTGGTATAACCTGTGACTTTGAAAGATGTAAATTGCAAAAAAAAAAAATTAAAATGAATCAGTTTTAATGAAGCGTAATTTTCGGGAGAATTTTCAACAAAGATATAATTATAAAATAGAAAAATAGCTTTTAAATAGAAAAACTTAAAGATTTGACCATTAGATTTGGTCCTTCTTTTTTCTAAGGTTAATTATAATTGATTACATCTGGCATTGTATTTTAAAATGCAAATGAAAATTTTGATGAAGTGACCTTATTAAGTGAAAAAAAAAAATAAAAAATTACTAAAATTATGAAACATCTCATTGGAATTTTTTAAAAAAAGAAATTCGATGAGCGAAAAAAAAAGTGCCTTTTGGAGCTTTTAGGCTAGCAATGAAACGAATAGGAAGAGGAAGAAGCATTTTTTGAAATTTGATGATTTTAATGATGAGTATTTCAGAAATTTAAATGTCATATATCATAAAGCTTGCAATAAATTAGTTTTTTTTTTTTTTTTTTAGACAAATCATATCACCAAATTAAAATTCCCAATTAAAGCATTCCAATCAAAAAGTACCCCGTATTGAGCAGTCCCAATTAAAAATTTTCTAATTATTATTTTATTGAGCGCCCAAATTCTTTTTTACTATTTGTCTAGCATTAATTTTATTTTATTATTCAAGCTGTTAATGTATTTCGCATTAATTATTCAGCCAGAACATACATCGTCGGAAGTT